AGATACTTGGTAAGATACAATGGTGTGCGCTTTTAGTTATGCAGCCATTCTCATCCTTCTTCTGCAGAATGGATATATCACTGGTAAGTATAGAATACTGAGATGTTTGAAACAAGCAAAAAAAGTGCGTGTGGTATTATCTTCATATACATTAGTAGATTTTTTACTTGAAAAACTACTTTCACTGAAACGCGATCGTTACTGATGGAAAAAACGTGAAGAGAAGTATATTTATAAATATAAATTGCACATTGAACAATTGTTAAGGTAATTCCCTTGAAAGAAATTTTGCCAATAACCTTGTCCTGAAACTTTGCATGGACATTAATTATGCTTTGGACATGTAACTAAAAGGTGGGGTCACCAATCTCGTTTTTTCGCTGGATGCTCTCCAAATATGTCAATTTATGGGTTTTATAGTGAAATGCGGTAGCAACCGGAAGCTGCAATCAAGAACCTTTATTCACCGTTAAAAGTACTTTCATATAACAAAACGTACTTATAACTCGAAGTTTACTAGATAATCTATACTATTAAATCCATCAAAGTTATTAGATGACTATGATTCTTGAACTATTAGTGAAAAATGCAGGTATGTGCACCTCTACGAACGTCCAAAAATTGCAAGGGGCAAATATTCCCATCAAAATATTTCAAAATCTATCCAATWATCTTTCCTTCATATTTTGATATATAATGACGAGCATCGCATTTATCAAAAATCTGAAATAAAAAATAGGGGTCACCATTCTCGTTTTTGATTTATCTTGAAAAAACATCTCAAAATAGTCCAAAACTGACACTTTTCCGAGTGGAGACTGGGGCGAGTCAGATAAAAATCGCAATTTCTCTACTCAAAAAAGAGAAAAAAGTGAAAATTGGTTTGGAACATGTTTCTTATTTAGTTTCCTAAAAAAAATCCCTAAACTTTGTTAGTTCCATTCTTTTAGTTGCATGCACAGAAAAATGCGCAGTGTAAAACAAGGGAATTACCTTGATAACATTTACACTTCTAATAAAAAGTTGAAGGAAAAAATATGAATTGAATCTTGTTTTAAAAATCACATTTTGAAATTGAATTTAGTTAAGATTGATTTCAGACTCACAGTTATGGTGTCGCAAATTTTGTCTGAAGCTCTGGGTTGCGTTGGATTGCCGTAGTATGCAGATTAATGCTTTTTATAAGAATATCAAGAGCGCGTTTTTATTACTTAACGGCTGCTATAGCATCGGGAGTATACACATAAGGGTCGTGGCATGGGTTCGAACCCCATAGAAGTCAGTGATCGCAGACGTTTTCAAAGAACAATGGATATTGTCGTTGGGTAACATTCACACCAACAAACTTCCTTGTTTACCATCTATCTCAGTATAAACATTTTCAATTCCGCTTAAATATATAGCTCTTATTAACCGAGTGCGAGGTCCGTACCGTAAGTTATGGACCGAGTTTTTTCCACTGCCTTATGGCCCAAGCGCGTAGCGCGCGGGCCATAAAAAAGTGGAAAAAACGAGGATCCATAACTTACGGTACGGACCGAGCAAACGAGGTTAGTAAGATATTTATTATATGGCAAGGCATTGAGATCAAAAAGAGGCGAAGCAACAAAAAGTAAAGTTGACAGCGCATGTCAAACGAGAACTGCATTGGAAGGGTTCCCGTACGTGCCAAAAGTGACATGTAGTGTTTGAGTCGCTCAAAAGGCGAAGTTTTAGTTTACTTTGAAAGAATTTAGCTAAAGCTTAAAGTTTTCTGAAATACTAGTTAACAAAAGTGAGGCTTTATTTTGCAAAACATATGAATGCAAAGCAAAAAAGGCATCAAAAGAAGACCTCAAGAACTCAACATGAGATTGAGAAGAAAACTGTCGTACTTCAAACTTCAAGATATTCACAACCAAGATGAAAAATACTACAGCCTTCCGCTTGTTTTCCTGCCTTTTATTGAGAAAAAAACTCAAAAACTGTCTCCAGAAATGAATGAGAAGCTTTGGAAAATTACGGCTAGCTGAACATGGATAGTTGTCTAAAAATACATTCAAATTCCAGAAATGAAATATTACTGAAATATGGACATACTTCAAGAGCGGATGAGCCTAGAAAACTGCTTAAAACGTTTACGAAAGAAACTACTGGCTTCTTCACCCGATCGATTCA